GGGTAACAGTGCGTTTTTTCCAGGACCCATCAGCTCCAAATCAAGTTGTTGTCCTTCAGTCTAGTTGTGGAGGGTGCAGCTCAGCTCCAAGTCCAATCACCGTTTTCAGACTAGTTGCGGGGGATGCAGCCCACCATCCCATGTGGGAATCGAACCAGCAACCTTGTTGTTAAGAGCACGCACTCCAACCAACTGAGTCACCCAGCCGCCCCATTTTTTTATTCACTGTGGAAATGCATAGTGTCGTTTAGCTTTTTACAAAATGCAGTTTATATCTTCTTTCGTGTGCTTTCCGCCCAGCAGTGCCTCAGTGGTCATCCCAGCCGTCCAGATGGAACTGCTTCGAGCTACCTTGTACTTGCCTCTCTCTCGGTGGCTCGAAGTTTCCCTGATCTTCATGTTCACAGATGGGAGCACTGTGCTCTCCTCTAGCATCTCTGTGCAAACACATCTGTGCAAACCCTGACGTCCAGAGTACGTGAACGTGCTCTTGTAGGAGTGGGAATTGTTAGAAACGAATTCACAAACTTGTGGTGTGAATGGAGGGTGACTTACATGTAAACACTATCATGAGCTTCAAGTCCTGTAGCATGTTCCTGAAGTAGCACTATTAACTGTACCCATGGGTCATCAGGATGTACTTATAATGGGAATGCTGAGTGCAATCTGGGATGGTTAACTGACCATTTACATGTAACCAGCCATATATTTTATATATGTGTATGTCTATGTTACATATATGTGTATACGTAGATACAACATGCATAGGTATATATATAGAGGGTGGCAAAAAAATATATACATATTTTAAGAAAGGAAAAAACTGTATTAAAATTGTAATAATATATACTGATAGCAAAAGATGAATACAAGTCACATGTATATATTTTCTTGGCACCCCCAATACATGCACATGTGACTTCTCCAGGTTGGGTCTCACAGTATTTCCCCCTAGTTTGTGAGAAACACCCAGACTCTCGAGTCCATGCTTTGGTTCCAAGCAATTAGTCAGCCTCGGTCTCATCTTCTCACCGGGCTGAGCCCCGGCAGGTTGGAAAAACGCCCATTGGCATCCACAGATGGTGTGTTCCTGCTCACGTACCTTCTGTCCTCTCCTTTTTCTTCCAGTTGTGGCGTTCTTGGTGGCTTTCCATCAGAACAAGCAGCTGATTGGAGACAGGGGACTGCTGCCCTGCAAAACCTACCTGAAAAGCGTACAGCGACACTTCCAGGGGCAGATCGGCTGGGACACCATGAGCTACACCCCCACTGTCCTCTGGCTGCTCGACTGGTCACACATGGACTCCAACCTGGATGCCCTCGCACTGCTCGGGCTAGGCATCTCGACTTTCATCCTGGTCACCGGCTGCGCCAATATGGTTCTCATGGTCGCACTCTGGGTCCTCTATATGTCCCTGGTCAATGTGGGGCAGATCTGGTAAGTGGGAAGAACTGGGCACACGTGACCCGGGTGTGCTGTCACGCAGCATCCTTGGGATGTGACACGCCGTAGAGCCAACCTCAGCCTCCTGGCAGCTGGAGGGATTGGGAGGCTTTCTTCTTACCTTAGATCAGGAGAATGTCATCATTTGAATTAGGCCATGGTAGAGACTGCTAATTGCCAATAAACCAAATGCAGGGGCCTTTTTTTTGGCAACAGTCATGATGGTTCCAGAGACCACGTGGCCAGCCTCCTGAGCCAGCAGGACAATGAAATGTAGCTGGAAGTCCCTGGATGAGCTTCTGGGAGCATATGATGGCAGAGTTGACTTAGAGGCTTACGCCTGCTGTTCCTACTCCCTCTTATCTTTTCTTGTCAAGAAGAACCATTACTGGCTTGTACCAGGGGTCACAGACCAAGCCGGCCCTGCTTGGGGCAGTAGGCTCCAGTGCCGAACAGATCCGAGGTGGTAGTGGAGCTCATGGAGGCAAGAGTGGAGCTGTCCTCTGGGACACACACACAGTGCTCATGGTGCCAGGGCAGCCTGTGGCCCAGGGTAGCCTGGATGGAGCACCCTGAGGTGCTGTGGGATGTTTACAGTGGTCAGAAGAGGGGGGTCCCACTCTTCTTCCCAGTTCTGGGTTCCACAAGTAGGAGAGAATCACCTACCAGAGGAAGCACAGAAAGAAAACGGGAAGCCTTGAAAGAAGGCTCTGGGAAAGGGGGTGGGGTCTGTGTAGACATACCAGACGTAGATGGGAGGCTGCTTGTGTAGATACACAGGAAGTGGATGTGTGGCCGGGTGTCGGTGTGGCCATGTAGGAGGCTCAGCACATGTGGGGCAACTGTTGGGATGGCCTCTCCAGGTGCCACCTGTCCTTTGGGAGAAAAGCTTCATCAGTGGCCTGACAGTCTGTTCCGTGCTGGCCCAGGACGGAGAAGCGCCCCTGGGTCCTGAATCGTGACAGTGTTGCTTCCCAGAGTGGGCTTTAACCCGGAAGGTCGGACCCCTGGGCACGAGGAGCTGACTTTCATTCCGCCTTCTGGCTTGCTTTGAACGGTTTCGTGGCTGTGGCATGGGCTGGGATCTCAGCTCCATCGTCTGTGCCCTGGTCCCCAGCACACGTGTGCACTGCTGTGAGACGGAGTCTGGGCTGGATCTTGCCACACCTCTTCCTGTTGTGGAAAGTGCTGGTTTGTGTTGGGCTTATGTTGGGGCAAGTGTGAATGACACTCAGCACACATGCGGGATGCATTTCCCCCGTATCAGGGCTGCTAAAAGAGGACTCTGCATATCTCACCCCAAAATGCCGTCCACTCGGCCACTCCTGGGGCCTCGTGTCACCCAGTACCTGTTAAGAGAGAACATCGCAGGAGTCAGAGCCCTGGATTTAGGAAGGCCTTGGGGAAGCTTCCGTAGGAGCAGCTGTGGCCTGAGTGAGCTGCGTGCGCCAGGGAGAAACAACCAAGGGCGGTGCCGCCACTTTCTCAACTGCAGGTGCGTCTGTGTGAGGTGATCACGTAGTCACTGCGTGACCGGCAGCATATCCTTATGGCTCAGGTACCAGGTGTTCAGCTCCATACAGAGACTGTGTTGGTTCCCTAGAGGGAGACTATACGAGACGTGATTTACTTCATTTTCTTTTTCTAAAGGATCAGACAGTGAGAGTGGAAATAGGGGCTGGTACACGGTTAGGTCTGGCCATCTCAGGTGGGCCCCGAGCACATAGCACCTGTGAGGTGAGTGACACTTCCTCCACTCCCACCTGCTCCTTCCTCCATGAGATTATGGGTGCTGCCACCTCGGCATCTGACCTCCAGGGCGGCTGCAAGAGGTTACTGTCCACCTCCAGTCTCTTGGTCAGCAGTTGTTGAGCAGCACAAGAGGCCTGGGTTTTTCTGTCATGTCCAAGATGCTGCTGTTTCTTGAGACCCGTGGTTTTAATCTACGCCAGAGGAGGGAGAATTCTAGGTGCATGTGTCTCATGATAACAATGGGAGTTACGAGCAGTGAGAGAACCCCACTGAGCATCATGGCCAGAGATGACCCGCTCCATCTGTGACCAGTGCTTGGGTCACGCCTTACCAGACCTGGCAACCCAACCATACTGACTTTAAGTTTTGCTTCAAGAAGTTTTCCCGAGTCATGTCCAGAATATATTGTTAGGAAAGATGAACCCCCTNATATATATATATATATATTTGTAGTTTCTCTTGGGCCTTAAAAAAAAATCCATGGTTTATTTAGAAGTGTGTGGTTTAATCTGCAAAGATTTGGGTATGTTTCCAGATAACATCCTGTTATTGATTTCTAGTTTAATTCTATGTGGTCAGAGAACACATTTTGTAGATTTCAATTCTTCTATATGTTGATATTTGCTTTATGACTCACATTATGGTGTGTCTTGAATGTTCCACATATACTTGAAAATTATATATATCTTACTGTTGAGTGCTCTAAAGATGTCATATAGTTGTGTCTTGCTTTTTTAGACTATATGGCAATCTATAAATGTCAATTAGGTCAAGTTAATATATATATATAGAGAATATATACATATATATATTAGGATAGGTCAGTTTATATATACATTAGCTTTGTTGTTAGGTTCATGCGCATTTAGTGTTGAATGTCCGTCTGTTGGTCCCTCATCATTATACAGTGTCCTTTTTATCCTTTGCATCATTCCTTGCTTTTATATCAGTTTTGTATAATATTGATGTAGCCATCCAGCTTTCTTTTGATTAGTGTTTACATGATATCTTTTTCTGTGCTCTTATTTTTAATATGCCTATGTCTTTATATTTAAAGTGGATTTCTTGTAGACAGAATAGATTTGTGTCCTGTTTTTAATCCAATCTGACGATTTCTGTCTTTGCTGGTATGTTTAGAACATTCCCATTTAAAGTGGTGGATTAAAATCTACCACCTTGCTAGTTATTTTCGATTTGTTCCTTCTGTTCTTTGTTTCTTTTTTCCTCTTTTCCTGACTTCTTTTTGGTTAAATGAGCATATTCTTTTTATGATTCCATTTCAGTATCTGTGTTGATTTATTCCTTAGGCTTGTTTAAAAAAAATTATTTTGCTCTCCCACAGGGCTTACAATATACATTTTACGTTAATCTGAGTCTACCTTCACGTAATAGTCTACTTTTTGTGTAGTGTAAGGTCCTTCTAAGTATATTTCCAGTATCTCCCTCCAGCCTTTGTGCTATTTTCTCAGGTGTTTTGCTTTACATATGCTGTAATACACAGTTCATTGTTACTGTTTGCTTTGGAGCAGGGGTTGCCCACCTTCCTGAAAGGGCAGATGGTGGCTATTACACCTGTGAGCCTAACCCACAGCCATGTTATCTATCTTAGTCTCAGCCCCGCCTGTGATGCAGTTTATTTTATTGTTGTTTGTTTGTTTGTTTGTTTGTTTGTTTTTTAAATTTTTATTGGGTAACAGTGCGTTTTTTCCAGGACCCATCAGCTCCAAATCAAGTTGTTGTCCTTCAGTCTAGTTGTGGAGGGTGCAGCTCAGCTCCAAGTCCAATCACCGTTTTCAGACTAGTTGCGGGGGATGCAGCCCACCATCCCATGTGGGAATCGAACCAGCAACCTTGTTGTTAAGAGCACGCACTCCAACCAACTGAGTCACCCAGCCGCCCCATTTTTTTATTCACTGTGGAAATGCATAGTGTCGTTTAGCTTTTTACAAAATGCAGTTTATATCTTCTTTCGTGTGCTTTCCGCCCAGCAGTGCCTCAGTGGTCATCCCAGCCGTCCAGATGGAACTGCTTCGAGCTACCTTGTACTTGCCTCTCTCTCGGTGGCTCGAAGTTTCCCTGATCTTCATGTTCACAGATGGGAGCACTGTGCTCTCCTCTAGCATCTCTGTGCAAACACATCTGTGCAAACCCTGACGTCCAGAGTACGTGAACGTGCTCTTGTAGGAGTGGGAATTGTTAGAAACGAATTCACAAACTTGTGGTGTGAATGGAGGGTGACTTACATGTAAACACTATCATGAGCTTCAAGTCCTGTAGCATGTTCCTGAAGTAGCACTATTAACTGTACCCATGGGTCATCAGGATGTACTTATAATGGGAATGCTGAGTGCAATCTGGGATGGTTAACTGACCATTTACATGTAACCAGCCATATATTTTATATATGTGTATGTCTATGTTACATATATGTGTATACGTAGATACAACATGCATAGGTATATATATAGAGGGTGGCAAAAAAATATATACATATTTTAAGAAAGGAAAAAACTGTATTAAAATTGTAATAATATATACTGATAGCAAAAGATGAATACAAGTCACATGTATA